AAAACAGCCATCCTGTTTAGCTCGTTGGGTCAGCGAGAAGCACAAACCATCACACCACATCAAGATGCAGTCTCGTTGTGATGGACTTAGGGGGAAAGGAGGAAGGAAACTGACTGTTTCATTCTTGGAATTCAAACTGAATAACACAGTGCCGCAACAGATGAAAACGATACTTTTTGACCAAGCCCACATTCATAAGGATAGGTTCAGCCAATTTCGCAATTCAATCCATTAGTCGATGCTAACGATTTTTGCACACAACTCGATGTTTAAATTCGTCAATTATTTACCCACTTTCTGATTTCCTTTCCAGTTTCTATGTTCTTGGTCTGGTTGCGATCTGACTGCAAAACTGGAAAGTGCCGAGCGGCTACGATTACATGTATACGAGTCACACATTAGACCGCTGTCACAGACTTCAACCACTATCATGGATCCTGTTTTGGTAAATGGTGTTGTGTCAGATTCTGTGGAAAAACCCTCGTCTGCCACCAGTGTTGAGTCTTCTTCGACCGTTCCTACCTCCGACACAACCACGGCTGGTGTAGGCACACCATCTGGATTGGGTCCGTCTTATGGCAAATCCATCTGTGCTGAGTCCACTGTTTGTAGCTCCGATGATCATCTGTTTCGTCATCCGTCATCTGCACCGAACGATTTTCTATCCGTCCGGACAGAGCTTCATGCGCGGCAGCCTCTTCAAACCCCCTCCAAAGAAGAAAAAGCTACCACAATAGCCGATATAGTGCAGTTAGATCCGAATCCGATCAACTCGGATCCACCCCTGATCACAACTTCAAGCAAACCAACCGTGTGGTGTTTGCCGCCCGCTTTGTCGGACGAATGTCGTCGAGCCATGGCTGGAGGTGCTCCGAATCCGGCATTTAATCCGGCGCCGACTCGTGAGGGTCCCGTGACCAAACACATACGATTGACGGCAGCTTTGACTTTGAAAAACATGTTGCGATTCACTCAGTTTGCACGAAAGTGAGTTACCGATCGCGTATCTTTTGTCAGTGTCTGGTCAATCCGAGACATCATTGCAGAATAACTGCTCAACAGGAGTCCATCAATAACGGTTGCTTGATTATTGTTTTCTAGTTTGCGCGTTTGAGTTGAACCATCATCTCTTCGCTTTTTTGTTTAGGAGTGGTTTTCAACTAGCTACTGATCTCTCCCCGAATATCAATGGCACTTTTTTGTGTACAACAAATGAATTAGAATCGAAGTTTATGGTTGATATATGCTTCCCCTATTTGTAAACGCTTGACTTTTTGGAATAAATCCTTCATTGGTTGTTCTGCTTGATAGTATCTTGACAGTCTTCTACACAAATTTCTCAGTATATTGGTTTCTCACCGCTGCGAGCTGGAATCGTATCGTTTGACCGCNTATCCCATGTAAGCTAGCAAGAGAAACAAAGGATTTGTATGGACAAATTTTATTTAACTTGTTGGAGTGCTTGGTCTCTTTTAACCTCGAATATCAGTTCATTACCATACTGTTTTTGCTGGACATTTGCTTCAGTTTCAGTTTGTACAACCATTAACAATGCACTATCGTGCGCCGGTTTTGGTTTCTATCTCTTGGTCGCCCATTTGGATGAACGTGAGGAAAAAGACAGGAAAGGTTAAAAGTAGGATCAAAGAGAAAATTTAGAATTTCAGCGGACTAATGCTGCAGAGGAATTGAAAATATGCGCGAACGCCACTCAGCCATAGCAATGAGTGTCTCTAACCATCGAGTACGATCATCCTGAGGTCCCCAACCAGAGAGCCTAACGGGATCTATGTGACCCAGTACCCTAGTTAGGGACTTTATACCCTCCCACCCGTAACTTGATTTCATCCACTAGCTGTCTCGGCGAACATCACTCGCCATGGCAACCTATCTGATGACATGCGTCACACATGCCCCAACCAACGTAATCTCTGGTCAACCATTTGCTCCTGTGGGCGACCGCGGTTACCTAAAACTCCGCGCCTAACCTCAGCATTGCTAGTCCGGATGAAGTTAGGCACAGAGTTTGATCTTCACACGAATCGTGTTTATGAGATCAAATCAATTGACGGTGCTCACAATAGTGATTGTTGTACCGCTCTCGACTGTGTTTCTCAGCCTACTAGTTTAGTATGATCTAGTTAGGTCGAAGCAGCTGTTCAGAGTGCTTCCTAACTTTTCACTTCACGCTTTATTTGCTCTGTCTGTCTACGGCGACATAACCGATATATATCGTTCCTTGTTCGAATTTTTTTGTTCAGATTTGCTTTTTAGTTTTTCAACGAGACCTTGTTGAATAAAAATTACGTTGATGAGGTTAAAACAAATCATCATCGTACGAGATACAGTAAAGTAAACGTCACTGATCGCTGCCCAGGTCACAATGTACACAAATCAAGTGATAAGGCACAAGATGGAGAGAGAGGGATTGGGTCTAACTAGAGGGAGTCAAAGAAAGTGAACCTCTATGGCCAACATAGAGTACATAATCTAAGTGCATACATGCTTTTTCAAGCATTCTGACTTGATAAGAAACGACAACGAGAACGCCACTGCTATCGGTTCGCTGTCATCCTTCAGTGTCTCCAACCAACCAGCTGCAGAGGCTGTTGGACCCCAACCTGGAAGACGGGAGACATCTGTTTCATCTAAATAACTGCATTTCTTCATGCCTCGTTTCCACATCGTCTGTTGACCTCCACGTGGTTTCTTCCAACCGAGAGGCGCAACTGAGAACGCGGTGCGGTAGACGATGGCTTGGCATGCGCAATACGTGTCCTAAACCGCGAAGCCGTCTAATCTGAATTCCATGGAGCTAAACTGAGTGGCATGGCTACGACTTTCTTGAAATGATCTGATGGTCAGATAACTTCCAACCTCGTTCGTGCACTGCAACCTCATTGCAATCCGAGTAATTCTATGCTCGGTGCACTCGAAAATGGTGTCCAGGTTTCCTGACTTCATGTTTCATAATGGTTTGTCTCTGAAAAGTCGTGAGAGATTGGTGGACTACTCATTCGGCTACGATAATTCTGTCAAAATATGTGATCTCTCGGTTTCCGGATGACATAAACCGGCCGGTATGGGCATCCCGTCCTTCCGAGAAAAAAATTACTTTTTTCTTCAAGTTGAAATCTAGACTTTTTCATTTCTATAGAAGTGGATTAAACGATCATACAAAAATTGATTGGAATTCGGAACAACCTATTCCGTTCTCATTTCTCGAAATTGTCACTTCCAGTCTTTGTCAATACCTTTGCATGCGCGTAACACGTTCAGTCGTGGTGGCGTTCAATTACTGAAGTGTCACATAATTCCTACTTTAACACGACCATTGACAGCCAGAGGATAAGTTGGGTCTGTGGATATCACAGCGATCCACAAAGATTCTCAAGAATATGATTGCAACCACCCTTCAACCTCTTGCTGTTGCACATCGAAGTACAACTTCCAACAGAAGGTTGTTCCAGAGAAGACAGTGTTTAGTAGTTGGGATCATTCGCTTCTTGAACAGCTTTTCGCACCAATGAAACGAGTCAAACGATAATGGACTTGATGGTCTCACTCATCACCTCACACTACCTTATCAAACTCGATTGTCGTTTTACTCGAGGGTGGGGGAAGAACAGTCGCCAAGGAAAATTCATTGCACTCTCAGGCTTTGCCGTACCCGCTCATTAGATGATCTTAATCCTGCCATATTTTATTGGCCGATTCTCCATCCACAATCTGGGGACGTCGACGACATCCTACGGCTCTGCCATCGATTGGTTCGTCATCGCGGTATCCGCTTTCTTCCCAGATAGTTGTAAACGAAAATGGCAGCTTTATTCCACACTGACTTCTATTATGAAACGTTCTCCAACGATAGAGTAAGACAGTCTCGACGAATTTAGTTGATCAAGTATCTCTTTGTGAGTTTCTTATAGGGACTTTTGTATTTGGATAAGAGGACACGATAATGATGATGGTGCGGCCCATGTGCTTTGCGTATTGGCTATCTATTTTAATGACAACATTGGTGGCACTGTTTCATGTAAAGAGATCATCTGAAGTGGATTTAAGGAGGGAAAATCCATACATATTGTTTCTTAGCAGATAATCATCAGTAATTCTTCGCCTTTTCATGCTGCTCACAGATACTTTTTGTTCAACAAATGGTTTTTCCTTTCATCCTCTCCTTTCAACAAACATCGCGTGCTATAGTTTTATGGCTTCTCGGGAAGAACTGCTTTCGGACCTGGCATTTTCCGGACTTGAGTCCTCACCTGCAATATTCGAGTGCTTGAGTCTTCTGCATGAACCGGATGACATGCCCACAAACTCCTTACGAAGCGATCCAATACCTCCATTCGGCTGACCCAGATCGGTTGCTTTGATTAACAGTGGCTGATGGCAACCCAACTCTCGTTCGCTCTCTCAGTGCTGCTATTTTATCTCTCTTCCCATTCGCCCCCTCTAATCCGACTGCTGTACAGACACTCACCCTCGTCAATCCCCCTTCAGTCTCCCCTTTTCTCCCGTTACCTGTCTATCTCTGAGAGTACACAAACACGTATCATGGAGGACGGGATGCGACTCGTGTGCAGCGTGACGGTGAGCGTGCTTTTCTTACCCAGGCTCATTTACTTCCATTCAGTGCGTGTGCAGCGTGACGGTGAGCGTGCTATTCTTACCCAGGCTCATTTTCTTCCATTCAGAATTGAATTACGCTCACAGTAACACTTGGCTATTGTTTTCAAGTTGTTTCGAGATCAATTTGAGTTACGCTTACAGGAACACTTGGCTCTTGTTTTCAAGTTGTTTCGAGATCACTTTGAGGGTTGCATTACGCTCACAGTAACACTTGGCTCTTGTTTTCAAGTTGTTTCGAGATCACTTTGAGGTTGTTTTCATTTGCTTATTTGATCGCTTATTAATGCAGTACCGTAGAAATTTGCCGGGTCGTTCGTTTTTTTTATTTGCTTATTCGATCGTTTAATAATGCAGTACCTTGCCGGTCGTTCGATGTATTTGCTTATTCGATCGTTTAATAATGCAGTACCGTAGAAATTTGCCGGATCGTTCGTTTTTGTTGTTGCTTTGAGATCCAATTTCGGCTACGCATCGCTCGTTGATCTATTTGGGAGTTACAGAGACCGTTCATTGGCTACGCGTCGCTCGTTGATCTATTTGGGAGTTACAGAAAGTGAAAAAAAAGAAAAAAAGAAAGAAAGAAAACAAAAAATGAAGCCAAAAGAGAAATGAAACCTACAGGTGGTTCGGTAGGAGAATCACTCGCTTGGTTAATCACTGGCAGTCGAAGACCGGAATCGGGTAAGAGCTCTGGAGTGCTGACTCCCTAACGGCAAACAGCACTCATGCACCTGGTCACTCCTCACAAGATGCATTCATCTACACACCAAAATCTTGGTCGGAGAGGCCGCGTTATACAGCCCTGGGGCAACCTGTCGGTCCAGTGCCAAGTAAGCTGCGGATGCGGCTCTGGAAAAGTGAGGGTGGAGACCCACCTCATTCTCCCTATCTACCTAACGCACAGCTCTTCTTTATTCTTTCACACCTTGACCTTGACCGCGCGCGGTTGAAAATCTAGACAGAAGAGTGTACGAGATACACTCCAGTAATTCTGCGCTCCAGTGGATATGTTATCTGTGCGTAACCATGGCAGAGAACACATCTAGGAAGCGTACTACTACGGCGCCTGAGCCTAGCGGTACGAGTAACCGTGACCGCAACATTCATTTCGATCAGAAGCAAACGATCAAACGTCTAGAGCATAGGATTGCTG